TGGAATCCCAGCATTTTAGAAGGCCCAGGAGGGCAGATCCCTTGACCTCAGGATTTCAAGACCAACCTGGCCAACATGGAGAAACCCCGCCTCTACATAAAATACAAAAATTAGCCAGGTGTGGTGGTGCCCACCGGGGATCCCAGCTAATTGGGAGGCTGACGCAGCAGTACCAGTGTAATCCCTGCACTTGATGGAGCCACTTACACATACCACAGGTTCTATTAGGAGCAGGGTCCCCTTTAAGCTCCTCACAGCGGGTACTGTGTGCTATCACCATGTTTCCCCCAGTGTTCACAGAACACAGCTTTGCCTACTGGGCCTCAGCAGAAACTGGAACTGAATGGAAGTTCAGTAGCCTCAGACATTTAAACCAACAGACTGGATGCTACTTTTCTGCAGGATATTATACCGTACAGAGAGGATTCCTGCAAACATGGATTTAGCCTCTTGCTGAGAAAAATGGGTGGTTCTGTGCCTGTGTCAGAAATCAATAGCTGGGATTGTAACCCCCGTCCACACCCACCTTACTGCAGACATGGAAAAGTTGCTAAACACTTTGGCCTCTGTCTTCCATCTTTATCAAAATGTTAAAATACCCATTTCTATTTTCTACAAGTATGGTAAAGATGAAATTAATTTTGATGAAGAGAGCGGTAAGTTTCTCGAGACAAGACAGGACATTGTTCATCACTTTTGTGGAGGTGAATCTATAGAACTTACTGTAGGTCTTCAGCTGGTAGTTCACCTGACTCATAAGATATCTATTTTTGCTGACTCGGACATTCAGTTTGCTCTCTTCCTGCTGGGAGCAGGATTTCTCAACGCCTTCTGGAATGTTCACCTCTGTGTTTTTTCTGGAAGGAGGTCTGCCAGATGCCACCTTGCTGACGTTTGGGGCAGAACACAGAAAGCCAGGGACTGGGGAGAAGAAACACAAACACATGATGGGTTAGAAACTGGTGATGTGAAATTGGTTTAATTGGGACTGAGGGATGTCACTGACAGCCTTGGCTACTGAGTTGAAGATGTTGTTTTTCTGATTTTACTCTTCTCACCTTCTCTCTCGATCTCCTTAAAGCAACTTGTCTTAGCTACTCAGTCACCCTGAAACCTGGAAATAAACACTTCTACCTTTATCTTGCTTATAAGTTCTGCAGGATCTCATATGGTAGACAGGATTCCTGTCAACATGATTTAGCCTCTTGATAAGAAAAACAGGTGGTTCTGTGCCTTTGTCAGGGATCAATAGCTGGGATATTAACCCTAGTCCCACACCCGCCTTACTGCAGACGTGGAAAAGTTGCTAAATACTTTAGCCTCTGTCTTCCACCTTTAACAAAATGTTAAAATACCCATTGCTATTTTCCTAGAAGTAGGGGAAGGATGAAATTAACTTTGAAGAAGAGAGTGTGTCATTTCTCAGAGACAAGACAGAACATCGTTCAGTACTTTTGTGATGGTGAACCTATAGAACTAACCTTCCGTCTTCAGCCGGCAGCCCAGGTAGTAGGCCACTTGACTCATAAGAAGTTTATTTTTGCTGTCTCGGCATTTCTGTTCTTCATCATGATCTTTTCGATCTTCTGTAAACAAATTCAGAAAAGCAGGTCACATTAAGGAAATCGCACTTCAGACAAGACCTAATCAGTGTTATAGCACAAGGAGTTAAAATATTCTCAGTGTAAGAATGTGATATTCTGGTGGGAATGTTCTCATGGGCCTTAGACTAAGTCACCCTAGAAGTAGATGAGCCGCTTTTCAGATCCATGGGACAAACTCTCCCTCATCTTGTAGATCTTAATCACGTATCCTCTGACCTAAGTCAGTGCAAAAAATTAAAACTTTTTCCCCAAAATCTTACAAAAATTGCCCGAAATACTTTCCAGAAGTGTTCCTGCAATACTGATTTATCTCATCATATACCACTGTCAATGAATGGTTAGAGAAATTTATATAGAAGACTAGACCAACGGATGAATTCTAACAACCTTTACTGAAAAAACAATCTGTGGAGTAGGCATGGTGGCTCACACCTGGAATACCAGCACGTCAGGAGGCCCAAGTAGGCAGATCCCTTGACTTCAGGAATTCAAGAACACCCTGGCCAACATGGTGGAACTCCGCCTCTACTAAATATACAAAAATTAGCCAGGTGCGGTGGTGTCCACCAGGGATCCCAGCTAATTGGGAGGCTGAGGCACCAGTACCAGGGTCCTCCCTGCTCTTGATGGTGCCACTTACACATACAACAGGTTCTATTAGGAGCAGGGTCCCCTTCGAGCTCCTCACAGCAGGTACTGTGTGTTATCACTGTTTCCTCCAGTGTCCCCAGAACAGAGTTTGCCTACTGGGCCTCAGCAGAAACCGGAACCTAATGAAAGTTCAGTAGCCACAGACATTTAGACCAGCAGACTGGATGCTACTTGTCTGCAGAATATTTTATGGTACAGAGAGGATTCCTGTAAACATGATTTAGCCTTTTGCTGAGAAAAACAGGTGGTTCTTTGCCTGTGTCAGAAATCAATAGCTGGGATTGTAACCCCAGTCCCTCACCCACCTTATCGCAGATGTGGAAAACTTGCTAAATACTTTGGCCTCTGTCGTCCATCTTTAACTAAATGTTAAAATACCTATTTCTGTTTTCTACAAGTATGGGAAGCATGAAATTAACTTTGATGAAGAGAACGGTTAGTTTCTTGAGACAAGACAGGACATCACTCATCAGTTTCATGGTAGTCAACCTATAGAACTTACCGTATGTCTTCAGCTGGTAGTTCCGGAAGTAGGCCACCTGGCTCATAAGAAGTCTATATTTGCTGTCTCTGAAATTGGGTTTGGTCTCTTCCTGCTGGGAGTAGGAATTCTCGATGATATCAGGAAAGTTCACCGCTGTGGTTTTCCTGGAACACGTCCTGCCAGATGCCACCATGCTGACGTTAGGGGCACCACAGGCGCAGTCAGACACTGGGGAGAAGAAACCCAAACACATGATCGGTTAAAAACTGGAAATCAAATAGGTTTAATCAGGACTGGCGGATGTCAATAACTCAAATTCCTAACTTACTGTTCAGAAAAACTTGATCCCCCCTCACAGCACTTTAGGGTCCTTAACTGCAAAAACAAGGCTGGAAATGCTTGAGCTGAGAGCTGAAGGTGCTGCCTGTAGCTCAGGCTCTGACGAGAGTGTGGGAGATAGTGGCCAGAGTCCCAGGTAACGGCCTGCTGTTGCAATAACAGAATTAGAAGCTGGGTGTGTCATGGAATCTTAGGAGCCCTTCATTCCAATTGCCCAGGGTTTGCTAAAACACAGGCCTCCTGGTCTCACCTGAGATCACAACCAATGGGGACCGTTCCTCTATCAGTCACTCTCAGTATTTGTGTACCCTTGTGACAATGCCACAGTCCCATCTCAGTCCCAATATATCTAAGCATGTGCCTCATTTTTTATCTCTTGTGTTTATAAAACCATCAAGGCAGAAAGTTTCCCAACATGTGATATTTTTTTAATGCTAGTCATGAAGTCAGTCACCCCTCCTTCTCATATGTTAAAACAGAATTGAAGGCTTTTCCACAAGTTTAACATATCAACCTATTACACTGCCATGATATCCTCTGACTCTTCTGCA